TGGCTGGGAGCCGGGGTGAGCTTGTGTAATCTCTTTCTAGAAATTAGGGTGGTGTGTGCTGCTAAAGGAAGTGTGCAGTCTGGCAGTTGTGATGAAACATACAAAAAAAACCCAAGAAAACAAGGACAGATTGGTTTGTGGAGAGGACAGACTTTGTCCAAAAAAAGATCTCTCTTGTGCACCTGCAGGGTTCTCTATGACACGTCATTGTGAGCAAAAGTGCAATAGCTCTATATACGAAAAAGTTTAAAAGAAAGAAGGTTCAAGGTAGAAAAAATACAGTGAGGACATAAAGAGGGAAAGCGGAGCGTTAAACAGATCCTGCCACAAGGTTACACTTCTAAAAGGTAACCCTTTATTTAAAGCTGAACTCCGGGAGGAGGAGACTGGTCACTGCTGCTCTCTCTCTTTATACAGGGTGACTGGTCTTGTCTCCGTCCCTCCTGTAGTTTTATCAGATGGCCTGCAGTGGGTGGGTCTTACTGGATCCCTCCCACAGTTCTGCTCTCTATACAGGCTATGTACAGCATAGTGATGATGTCACCACTACTTTTATATGGTACTATCTGGGTTTTCAAAAGGTGAACACAAAAAGGATTTATAGCCTTTGGGTCTATTGAGGAATATTTTTAAGTAAAAGTTTTTGTTCCTGGAGTTTAGCATTAATACAATAGATACTTGTATCCAACATTTTTTTTTCATTTAATTAGAATCTGCCACTTCCCGCATTTACAGTACTCCCATTGCTATATCATGGCTTCCAGCAAAATACTGACCCTGAAGCCCTGTTTACACCAGAACAGTTTGAAGTGCACTTAAATGCATATCATCAGGATTTCACACCTGCGAGTAATGCTGCTTGAGTCTCTTCACTCGAAAGAGTGAGTTTTGGCCACAATAGACAGTAATGGGAATGCCTGAAAAACCCATGTCAGTATTCACAATGCCACAGGATCACTGGATGCCTCCTTCTGACATCCACCAGACATTCTTCAGTGGGGGAGAAAATAAAGCTCACAATGACATAGGACAGCTGGACACCGTGATCCATCCTCCACTGGACACTTATCTGGGAGCTCTCTAAACCAGGTCCCCAGACCTTTAACTAGAACCCCCAGTTATGCCACAACTGGGATCTTGTTGGCCATACTGCAGCATTCCAGCGAACTGACCATAGAGGCAGAGCCCCCATAGGCTAGGGACTCCTGCAGGACTGGACCCAGGACCAGCAAGCCCTCTGCTTCAGGTCTCAGACTATTTTTGGGCTCTCCAGCCACCTACTGGACTCCTCAGGGTTTGGCTGAAACACCATAAATATTCAGACTGCCCATCTGCCTTTCCATCCATTGTGATTCTAGAACCCTCTAAAATGCAACGGGAAATAATCAGACCAGCAGCCTGTGAATCACGGAGCAGTATAAAGTAATTAATAACTGCTCCAGTAGTTACAGAGGAGCCAAAATAAATTTGCCTAACACTCTAATAGCCTAACTTGGAGGGTGCTACAATATAGCCTGAAAAACAACCAAGGATGTTCAGATTAAGGGTGAATGGTGCCCAACAGAAGATGCCCGTTTGTGCACAGCTCCAGAGTGACTTATGTATGTATGTGCACTAGTGGCTGCAGCTCCTAGTAAAGCTCAAAAGATGACAGCAGAAGCTGTTTGCAGACAATTAGCTATAGTCCATGGCACCACCTGCTTGGAGTTTGCATGTTCTCCCTGTGCCTGCGTGGGTTTCCTCCGGGTACTCTGGTTTCCTCCTAAGCTCCAAAGACATGTTGGTAGGCTAATTGGATCCTGTTTAAATTGGCCCTAGTATGTGTATGTATGAATGTCAGTTAGGGACCTTAGATTGTGCGCCCCTTGAGGGTTAGTGACTGATGTGAATATACAATATATATATAAAGGCTGCATGAATTGACAGCGCTATATAAGTACCTGTAATAAATAAATAATGAAGTAGAGACTTTTTCTGGAGTTGTCAGGGCTACATGATACCTAAATGTTCCTTACAGATATTTGCAAATGTCTCTCACTCTTAACCGTTCTGGGACTACAGCCCTACCACACACATTTTTAATGCCGGAGTCACCCAGGAACTGTGTATAACAGGGCCCCCACTCTGAGACTGGCTGTCAGAGGGAGCTGTGGTTTTCACCAAAGCACTGTGGCCCGACAGTAGGAATCACTTTCTTGATAGTTTGTTTTAAAGTATTGTTATTTTTATTATAGGTCTCTGACAACTTTGGAAAGAGTTTCTCTGGAGCTGTCAGGGCAGCACGATGGAAATATTTTCATTTCAGCTGTCTCCAAGTTGCTCCTACTGTCAGCCTCAGTGCTTTGCTGGAAGCTGTGACAGGTGGTGGGTATTGTAGAGAGTAGGATTCGACACTTTTATAAGTGTCAGAATGCTATTACATTTGTAGTGTTCCTTATTATTAAAAGAACCGTTAAATAAAAAATGATGGAAGTCATAACATGACAATGTTAATAGGTGCAGAGCTAAAATATCTTATTGGTAAAATGCACATTTAAAAGCTCATATAAAACTCATTATGGCAATCAAGATGAAAGTGCAATAATATGGTGCAAAAATGAATAAAGTGCTATTAGATGTACGTTTAAAAAGCTCATATAAAACTCATAATGTCAATCAACATGAAATGTGCAATAATAAGGTCTGATGAATAAGGTACTTCTAAAGAGGAAAATAATACTTCAATCCTCATATAAAAAAGTGACATATAGGGGTTTATTTACTAAAGCTGGCGAGGGCAAAATCCATGCAGAAGCATGGAAACCAATCAGCTTCTAACTTCAGTTTGTTCAGTTAAGTTTTGGCAATAAAACCTGGAAGCTGATTGGTTTATATGCAGAAGTGAGCTTGATTTTGCACTCTCCAGCTTTAGTAAATAAACCCCATAATGTCAATAAAATAGAGGCAATAAATGAGAGTCCTTTTATGGGTGATCTTAAGTGCTATTCCTCGTGCCAGATAAAATCATTCGGTGATGTGCCAGGGATATAGTAAAATTACGCACTCACCAGATGCGCATTTACAATACGCAGGTATATGTATATAGTATAGGTCAGCCAGAGGTCCCCTTTAAGGATGAAAACAGCCTGGACAGGAATCTCCCTCCTCTGGGTCACATGTAGTACCGCTGCCGTCCTCCGCAAATGGGCTCTGTGGATGTTTAAGAACGAATGGTACCCTCATGCGTCTGTTAAAGAGCAGCGCTTTATTCCTGCGATTGCCTGGGAACACGTGTGATTTACATAAGTCTGAACTTAACATTAGAGAGTATCTCATCAAAACTAAAGATACCTAAAATCTGACTTGTATCTTAGTGCTGACTTCTGGGAAAATCAGTAAGCCAATCACACAAGCAGGTAATAACACTCTGGAGGCAATCTGTACACCAACACGTATCCATATTGCATTGGATTTTAATGAAAAATTACAGTGGCTACAGATTGAAAAAGAAAGGTAATTTTTAATAACATTAAGTTACAAAATGGTTTGTGTAGCAATTGTATATGCAATGTTATTTTTTTTTTTTATTTGCCATATTTTTTTTTCCTGGAAATGCTCTTTCATATAAAAACCCTTCTTCAGACCATTTATTACCTGTTCTGCTATTACTGTTGAATAAATCAAATATTACTAAAAAATCATTTGATCAGCTCTAATCAAGGAACAACAAACTAAACATCCCTCCTGACCTTTGATTGTCACCCGAAACATGGATTTCAGCAGCTTTGGCTGATTCTTTGGAGTGACAAACTATCAATCTGAAGCCTTTTGTATATGCTGTTAACTAGATAAATATATTTTGGGTCACTTTGAAAAACACAAATAGTGTTCCATTTTTTTTAAGTGAAGCAGTAATTAAAAAAAAAAAAAAATGAAATTCTCCATTCAGCAAAGCCTTTGATCTGTTGAACCCTAAAGGTTAAACCGTCCTGACCTCTTCGTGCTCCGGCAACAAAGCCTGGCCTCTTCGGTCAGCTGTTCCATTGTTTTCTTCATCGCACATTAACTTCAAAATGAAGCGGCAGTATTCCTGTGCACCTAGAACATTCACCTAATCTTCCTGGAGGTGAAGAGCCATTGTTTCCCAGAGAATCCACAGCCTATTGTGCCAGTCCAGCAGAAAAGCCATTTCCTCTCCCCCCTGACAGCATCCTATTCTGGCCCCAAAGCATTCTGTCATTTCAGTCTACAGCAGCCTTTGATGGTCAGTTTTTTTTTTTCTGTTGTTAGGAACGTTATCCATTTATCCCATGCCAAGTTGTTTATAGGTGATAAATGTTAACTCTCCCCATCTTAAACATCGGAATACTTCAGATTTTCAGTTAATCTTGTTCCTGCAAAATAACAGCTTTTCAAACTGAAATTTAAAGCTGCGCTCCAGGAAGACTAAAACTCTTTCTTTGCAGTGGGACTGCATCCACACCGCAAGGGTTAACTGCTTGTTTAAGCCCATGGAATTTGGAAAAGCACTTTTTACTTACAGGATCCTCTGAGCTCCCTGTAGCCTCTTGTCTCCTATGTACTGGCGATCTAAGGTTCCCTGACATCATCAAGACTGATGCAGGGTCCAAAACCTTGCACTGGGCGTAAGGACGCTGAGAGACAGTCCAACACAGGAGAACTGGGAAGAGTCATCTGCTGGGGGAGCAGAGGATCAGGTAAGAAAAGTGTTTTTATTGTTCTTAGACATAAACAAGCATTTAACCCTTGCACTGGGAGTTTTAGTTTAACTGGAGCTGGCCTTAATTTATACCATGGTGTCATCAAATGGTGCTATTTTTAACCTCTTCCGCACCACCCTATAGCAGAAATACGGCATGGGTGCACAAAATCATGTATATATATGTGACCAGGGGCGGACTGACAACTCATGGGGCCCCCGGGCAACAGGGGATCATGGGGCCCCTGTGTCCTTGCCCAAACTCAAAAAAGCCTATGAAAAAAGGTACCAGGGGCATCTCATGGGGCCCCCTACTGACCCCGGGCCCTCGGGCAGTGCCCGAGTTTCCAAATGGTCAGTCCACCCCTGTACATGACTTTATTTTGCAATTTCGGGTAGGGAGCGTGCGCGCCACCCACTCTACCCATGCCACCATTCACGACCTTGGCTATAAATCACTAGGTCTTGGCCAGTGATTCCCTGGCGGTACTTGGCGATCTCCGAGTATTGCCAACAGGGGGAGAGACCTGTATGTAAACAATACATATCTCTCTCCTGTCAGCTCCTGCACATTGCTTTGTATGGCTCTGCATAGCAAATGCAAACTCCAGGCAGTGTGGTGCTGTGGCTGGGATTTGAACCAATAACCCTAGTACTGCCAGGTGGAAGTGCTAACCATTTAGCCACTGTGCTGCTTGAAGTAATTGTCCAATTGAATCAAAAGCTGTTTCATAGCCAGGTGTGGGCTACCTCTTAGTTATTTCTTCATCAACTAAGCAGGTAAAAGGTCTGGAGTTGATTCTAAGTGTGGTATTTGCATTTGGAATCTGTTGCTGTGAACATACATCAAGGCTTCAAAAACGAAACAAATCAATCAGAGAGATAGCAGCAACATTAGGAGTGGCCAAATCAACAGTTTGGTACATTCAGAGGAAAGAAGAATGCACTGGTGAGCTCAGCAACATAAAAAGGCATAGACGTCCATGGAAGACAACAGTGGTGGATGATCGCAGGATCCTCTGCATGGTAAAGAAAAACCCATTCACAACATCCAGACAAGTGAAGGACACTCTCCAGGAGGTGGGCGTATCATTGTCAAAGTCTACAATCAAGAGAAGACTTTATGAGAGCAAATACAGAGGGTTCACCACAACGTGCAAACCATTCATAAGCCTGAAGAATAGAAAAGCCCATGTGATAGCATGGGCATGCATGGCTTCCAGTGGCACTGGGTTTCATTGGTGTTTATTGATGATGTGACAGAAGAAGCCAGATGAATTCTGCAGTGTTTAGAGATATACTGCCAGCCCAGATTCTGCCAAATGCAGCAAAGTTGATTACACGGCGCTTCACAGTACAGATGGACAATGATCCAAAACACACTGCAAAGGCAACCCAGGAGCTTTTGAAGGAAAAGAAGTAGAATATTCTGCAATGGCCGAGTCAATTACCTGATCTCAACCCAACTGAGCATGCATTTCACTTGCTGAAGGCAAAACTAAAGGCAGCAAGACCCACAAACAAAAAACAACTGAAGACAGTTGCAGTTAGAGCCTGGCAAGGCATCATAAAGGAGGAAATCCAATCTTTGGTAATGTCCATGGGTTCCAGACTTCAGGCAGCCATTGCCAGTAAAGGATTCTCAACAAAATATTAAAAATGTTATTTATGATTATATTCAATTATCAATATGGCTACTCTTAAGAGCTGTAATTCCTAAACCCTTCCTCCAATTTGGATGTACATACCCTCAATTTAAACCTGAGAGTGTGCACTTTCAGCCCATATCCATTATATAACTATAGCTTGAATATGTTTTGGTGAATACCTGAAAAAAACTAAAATTGTGCCTCTGTCCAAATATATATGGACCTAACTGTAGTTTTTTAAAAAAAAAATCGTTGGTCTTTTTTTGTTTATAGCGCCAAAAATTACAAAACACACAGGCGATCAAATACCACTGAAAGAAAGGACGTAAATGTAATTTGTTTGCAGAGTTGCATGACCACGCAATTGTCAGTTAAAGTAACACAGCGCTGTATCACAGGATCAATCAAATCCTGTGAGAAGGGAGCAGGCTGAGCCATGCTGTGTGTCTATGGACACACACAGCCTGGTTCAGAAGTGATCCCACAAGTGTGCCATCCATAGTAAGTGGCTTTGTCACGTACCTAGATAGTGAGCCTGACGTAAAGAGGCAGGCTTCCCGTACAACTCCGGCTCATGGACTGCTGATGGTGAGACAGCAGTCACAGGGGCACGGTGGGGTATGAGTTCCTGTGATCAGTCCAGTAACAGCTGATGAGTTGTAGGCAAGGAGCAGGGTTCTGATGTAGCAGTGCGGGATGGATGGATACTCGAGAGCAGCGTGCTGAGGATGCAGGGTCAGATGAGCCGGGTTCGGTATCAGTCAGGCAGATCAGGCTTACAGCGGCAGGAAGAAGAGTAGTCAGGTCACAGGCCAGGTCAGCAACGGAAGATCAATCAGACAGGAGCGGAGACAGAAGAATAATCCAAGACAAGCCAGAGGTCAGGGCAGGAAGCAATCAAGCAGAGATCAGGAACAGGCTGGTTCAGTATCAGGAGCAGGGGCGGACTGACCATTCGAGCACTCGGGCAATGCCTGAGGGGCCGGGGTCAGTAGAGGGCCCCATGAGATGCCCCTGGTACCTTTCATTGGCTTTTTCATAGGCTTTTTTGTGTGTGGGTGAGGACACAGGGGCCCCATGATCCCCTATTGCCCGGGGGCCCCATGAGTTGTCAGTCCGCCCCTGATCAGGAGTCAATCACAGGAATCAGGGAACACGAGCAGGGAAAAGACCATACGGCAATGAGACAACTACTGCAGCCAGTTTAAATAGCCCTTTTGGCGCATGCATGCATGCACGTGTGCGCGCCTATGTCCAAGTGCCTGCACATCTGCTTGGCTAGTAAGGACTCTGCTCATGCGCATGTTTGTGCGCCGTGGAACTTCACCTACACTATGGGCAGGCCTTTTCCTGACAGGCTTGCTAAAGTGGTGCACACAGAATAGGGGGAGCCAAGAGCACTGGCGAGGGACCCCAGAAGCGGAGGTTCAGGGTCGCTCTGAGCAATGGTATTAGATAAGTATAGACCACTTTTTTATTTCAGAAAAAAAGTATAGACTTTACAATCACTTTAAAGAGTCTCTGTCCCTTTGTATATTTAGGCAAAACTGGATTTTCATTTTAGGCATGACATGCATATACCATTTGTGAAGCCTCACCCTATTCAAGCTTTTGAGCACAAGGTTCTGAAGGGAGGAGAAAGATGGCCTCATTGGTGCACTGCTGCTACTTCATGTCAAATCACCAAGTTGCAAATATGTTCCTTACAAAAAAAAAAAAAATCATCAAATTTTTATTGTTAAAATGATTAGCACTTCCACCTGGCAGTACTAGGGTTGTTGGTTCAAATCCCGACCATGGAACCAACTGCCTGGAGTTTGCATGTTCTCCCTGTGCCTGCATGGGTTTCCTCAAGTTACTCTGGTTTCCTCCTACATTCCAAAAGACATGCTGGTAGGTTAATTGGCTCCTTTCTAAATTGTCCCTATTATGTGTATGTATGAATGTAAGTTAGGGACCTCAGATTGTATACAACTTGGGGGTTAGGGACTGATGTGATTATACAATATATATAGATGTAAAACACTGTGTAAAATTGATGGTGCTGTATAAGTACCTGCAATTAATAAATAACTTCATAATAAAACACTGCTAAATCCTAAATAAACAGAAAAATACCATTACTGCCCATTTAATAGTCTATTAACTGTTGGATAAGTCACCAATCCATTTTACTGCTGTGAAAGTTAAAGTGGTTGTAAACCTCAGACATGAAATATGAACAAATTATATCCCTCTCTATAGTGTGTACTTGTCTCAATTAAGAGCACTAATTGTCATTTCTGTCTGCCGCTTTGTTTACTTGCTATCAGCATGAATCACTTCAGACAAGGTTTCCTGACACCAAGAGAAAAATGGTGACGGGGAGGAATCGTCCAGTAGAGTGACAACTTTAGCTCTATTCCTGTGAGCTGTGTAATGGGGGTGTGTCTCTTCCCTCCAATCAGATCTCTCTTCTAATTGAGCTCTGCAGTGCGTCATTTAAGCTCTCCCCCCTTTTTTCTGAACTCTCAGACAAGCTTTATAAATTCTACACTTTGAATGGATGTAGAGAAGAGAAGACTGCACATAGACATTCACAACTTATGTAGAAGGATTTGTTTCATCTTTGTGTATCAACTGAGGCCAGTCACTTCACTGGGTATATGTAAGGGTTTACAACCACTTTAAAGTGGAGTTTCAGCCCCCCCCCCTCAAAAAAATAAAAAATTAGGAGCTACAATTACTTTAGCTAATGTCTTTTAATATTAGGGCACTTACCTGTCCAGGGGTGCAGCAGTGTCCTCATCCCAAGCCGATTTATTTTTGTTAAAAATCAAATACAGTTTTATTAAAAGAAAGACAAGGTACAACATTTCCAGCCAAGCCGAATAATCGGGTCGGGTGCTGGCGCCACCATCTTGACTAAGAATAACTGTCAGTGAAGCTTGGAAGTGTCCCAGAGGGCTGCAGGTGGAGGGCCGAACTTGCAGCTCAGTTCACCATGGAGAACTTAGCTGGGAGCCGGAGCGAGTACCTATCAAAATCAGGTGCCCACTCCCCCCCAAAAAGTGCCAAATGTGGCAGCGGAGGAGGAGAGGAGGCAGACAAGCAGAGCTTACACGTTTTGGTGGAACTCCGCTGTAAGGATCTAGACGCACTATATGGTGAACCTAACTAGATTAAAAAAAGGAACGAGTTACAAATCCATTGACAGGTAAAACAGTTCCCATATATGTGTTTCAACTGTATATTTAGCTGCTTTCCTGGAGCCCAGCTTCAGAGTGGTATTAACCTCCCTAGCGGTCTGATTATGCCCAAATTCCTGTGCTCAAAGCGGTAATTTTTTTTGCATGGTACGTATTTTTTTATTGTAGGACTGTAATTTTTAGAAATAACTCACTGAAATCTGTCCGAACAAGAGTCTAGTAAACATCCCGGGTAGGATAAAATTTGAAACATGAAATCATAAATATAAATTTAATAAATAATCATAAAAAATAATAAATGTAATTCAATAATATAATCAAACCAAAAACACTGAAATTTGAAATATAGCGCCAAGTTCGCACATCACTGAGCAAAGTTGCAAAATCGTTTTCAGTGTCTGATGACGAATTTCCCCACGAATCATTATCACTCAATTCTGCAAGTAGTTCTAATTTACTATCACTGTTCTCTAGTTGGTCTAAAACCGATTTTGACCTAAAGGGACGCTTTTTGGATGCCATGGACATTTCTCAGTTTCCAGGCAGAAAGAACAGTAAAAATGCAGGCAGGGCACAGGACAAAGCACTAGGGACAAAATGTATGTGAAATGGTTTGATACAGTAATGTTTTACTATGTGATTTTAGTGAATGTCACTTTTTGTCATTTTCAAATTTCCCGCCGTTCCGTCCCCGTACGTCCCGACGTCGCAGGGAACAGAACCCAGATGACAGATGCCGGCATCCGCCGGAGGACATTACAGGGGACACTGCAGGAGGGACATTGCGGGAGCGCAGGATAAAGTAAGTGAAGAACAGATGCCGGAGCAGCGCCGCATGGTAAGCCCGAGTGTAGCGGGGTTACCGCTTGTGGTACTGAAACTTTACCCCGAGCTACACTCGGGAATACCGCCAGGGAGGTTAAACCCAAAACCAAAAAATATAATATATTGCAGCTTACCAATCATTAGATGTGATGGCTGCATTCGTTTTCTTTTTTAGGCTTTTTTCCCTATGTTTAATACAGGAAGTATTATGGGCCAGATCACCATTAGAGTACCTCCACTCTGGATGAAGGAGCATGGGGGGGGGGGGCACATTTGGACAGCAGTATTGTTAGTCTGGGGGGGAGGGGAGTGTTAGATGTATGAAAAGATTTAAATACACAAGCAAATTGAAACTGAGCTCCAGGTGTTACTTTAATCCTTTGCAGCAAACAGTATTCTTTCCTTTTGGGATAACGGTTTTACATATGTAACACACTACATTAATACTGGTAGCAGGACATTAAGTGAACACAAGATGGCAGTGGTCTGTGGTTCAGTTATCCAGACTCTATAGAAAGAAAAACCTTGCTGAACTTGTATGCTGTAAGCAGGACTTCTGCGCTCAGACAAGTAGTGAACAAACTGCATTTCCTAGAAGCGTTGGCACACTTTACACTTTACACCCCAGCTTATCACACTGAGGCCCAGACTGTCCAATCTCTTCTGTATTGCAGCCTACTGCTTTAATGTCCCGCCCAGCCATCAATCTGCTATAGGCCAGGCAGAACACTGCCGTTGTGACTGGGCGTCAAATGACGTCCTGTCAAAAACAGCAGTTCACAAGGCCGTGGGGTCACGCAGTTGCACGATCTGCCACTAGCTGTGTCCACGAGACACAGCCGATGACATATCATTGCACCGGCCCGTTGCTAGTGCCATGTGACCAATCACAGCAGATCACATGTCGATTGTATACAATGGATGGCTTCCTGTCATGCCATTCATTGTATACAATTGTGTAGTTAGCTGTGATTGATCAAAGCAGTCACATGGTACAGACATGGCCAATCACAGTCCATCTGTATCATGTGATGAGCTTTGCCCAATCACAGCTAATCACAACAAAAAACTGAATGAATCAGTTTCATTCAGTAACAATGATTGCAAATATCAATGAAATACATTGGTATTAGCAATCATGTGTAACAAAAAAAAAAAAAAATCCTGATCACTTGCCCAGAGTATTTCAATATTACTATGGTAACACTGTATTGCTTTGGTCACAGTATGTTAAAAAAAAATTGTAAAACAAAAGAAAAAATACTGTAATAAAAAATGAAAAAAATGGAAAAATTTGAAAAAATAAATAAAATTAAATGATTATTTTATTTTTTTGTTTACATACTGTCACCAGTCAGTGTCCCAGATCACCATCACACCAGTTATTTAATCACACTGTACTGGACTGGTGACAAGATGTACAAAAAAAAAAAGGGATTTTTTTTTCAATTTCTACATTTTACAGAAAAATTGTAACAAATATTTACAACCTCCAAAAAACTCACGATGCCTCTTACTAAAAACCTTGGACTTTCTATTTTTCAAAAATGGGTAATTTGGGGGGTATTTGTACTATGCTGGCATTTTCGGGCATCAAGAAATGAGATTGGCCATCAGTACATTGATTGATCGATTGTCACATACTGTATATATATATATATATATATATATATATAAATATATATATATACCATGGTTTGTGGACTCTATAAATTTCCTACTGACTAAGTAATATACACCAATTTGGGGTATTTTCATCAAAGAAATGTAGCAGAATACATTTTGACCTAAATTTATGAAGAGATGTTATTTATTTGCAAAATTATATAACAAAAACAAAGAAAAGGGAGTTTTTTTTTTCAAAAGTTTCAGGTTTTTTTTATTTAATGAAAAATAAAAAAATTCAGTGGTGATTAAATACCACCAAAAGAAAGCTCTATATGTGTGAAAAAAATAATAAAATGTTTTGATGGGTACAGTGTTGCAATTGTCATTCAAAGTGTGACAACACTGAAAGCTGAAAATTGGCCTGGACAGGAAGGGGGTAAAAGTGCCCGGTATTGAAGTGGTTAACATCATGAAATCTCAGGACTTTGGCCACAGCATATATACTCTGCATACAGGATTGCATTAGTATGCCTTTTCAAGTCTCTTTCAACCCCAAAAGAACCTGCTTCACCAGACTAGTTCACCATCTTCAGGAGGAATCTGCCTCTGCTGAAGTCTACTTCTGCCCCTTTCTATAATCTTAGCCAATTGGGTAATGAGACTTTACCCAAATTAAACATCACACAAGGAAGGGTCTGAACCTTAATGTGCACCAACTAGGGCCCCATTGAGCGCAGAGAAGATTTTACACCTTTATTTAAAGAGTTTCTCAAAGTGGGCACTATTACTCATAACAATAATATATGTAAGGGAATTCCCACGAGACGGCTGGGTGAATAGACGTGCGCATGCCCACAGAAATGCGCTATGCTTGCATACGCATGGCAAAGATTGGCACCAGACGGACTATTTAAAAGGTGCCTCTGCCTGTGCTGAGTGCTGACTGGTCTTCAGCTGTTCCCTGTTTCCTCCTCGTTCCTGTGTGATTTCCTTGTTGCTGACCCGACTTGTTCCTGACCTGACTCTGATTACTCTCCTGCTTGATACTGGTTCCTGACTTCGGCTCTGCTCCTGACTTCGGCTTGCTTATGATTTGGTACCTCGCTGTCCGCCTGTTGATGACCCCGGCTATTCCTATGACATTGCTCCTATCTCCCATCCCAGCTTCCTGCCTTGCTCTGGTGCATGCCTGGCGATTTACCATACCAGCTCTGCATATCACTACTGTGCCTGAATCAGAAGTTCATCAATCTTCCAAAGTCTCCAGCTGCATGCAAGAGCTGCAAACAACATCTACTGGTGCTCTTGTCCCCCTGGTCCCTAGACACCCTCTGTTCCACCTCCAGTGGGGTCAGGGCTAGTGACACAAGTGAGGCCGACCTCGTCATTTCAGTCTCTAATCAGGTACGTGACAATGTTCATTTCTAGAGTTAAACCTAGTTACCAGCAACTGAGAACCCAAAAGTGAGTTAGCCTAACAACTTGATAGTTCACTGCAGCTCACTTGGGGAAAACACGTCCCAGAGTCTGGAATTGATGCTTACATTCTGATCCTGCAGAATATTTGGGTTGCTTAAAGTGATACTGTGTTTTATTACTTTGTTTAACCTTTTAGAGTGTTTAACTTCTCTTTTATGCACATCTACTGTTATTCTTGTGCTTACACTCGTTATATTCTGATCCTAATATAACCAGAATATCTGCTCACTCTAAACTGTGTGTTTATTTTATGATTCATTGCCAGTGTGTCCTCCTTGCCAAAGGTTCAAGGTGGTGTCAGCAGGTGCTGTGTTTTCAAAGCAGGCTCAAGACAGACAGGGAACCCAAAAATCCTTAGCGGCCCTCAAAGGAGTAGTGCTACACATAAATAAATAAAAGCTGATAATTTTAAGCACCCTTGCTAGTGTTAACTGGTTGTCTCATCCCTGTAACTGCAAGCTCTTCTTTAACCACCTCCCACCCGCCATATAGTAATATGACGGACGCAAGGTGGCTCTCTCGTTCTGGGAGGACGTCATATGACGTCCTCCCATTCTCACCGCTCATGCGCGGCTCAGGGAGCGCACAGTGCGGCGATTGGCGGTGCGCTGTGTCCCTCGGACACAGCGGATCACCGATCACGGAAAGAGCCGAAGATGTCGGCTCAGTCATGTGATCAGCTGTGTCCAATCACAGCTGATCACATGGAAACAGGGAAATGCTGGTTATCGGCATTTCTCTCCTCTCGAGCTGTCACGCTGACAGCTCAAGAGGAGAGGAGAGCCGGTAATCGGCTTTCCGCGGAGGGGACATGTACACTGATCATCAGAGCACTGATGATCAGTGTGCCCTGATGATCAGTGTAGCCCCAGCAGTGCCACCTGTCAGTGTCCATCAGTGCCTTGTTTGCGTGCTCATCAGTGCTTCGTGCCAGTGCCCATCAGTGCCACATCAATGCCACATATCAGTGCCTACCAGTACACCTCAATGCCACATATCAGTGCCCATCTGAGCTGCCTTTCAGTGTCACCCATCAGTGCCACCTATCAATGCCAATCATTGCCACCTATCAGTGTTGCCAATCAGTGCCACCTATCAGTGCCAGTCAGTGCCGCCTGTCAGTGCGCATCAGTGCCGCCTATCAGTGCCGCCTATCAGTGCCAGTCAGTGCCGCCTAACAGTGCCAGTCAGTGCTGCCTATCAGTGCCACCTATCAGTGCCATGTATCAGTGCTGCCTTTCAGTGCCCATCAGTGATGCCTGTCAATGCCCATCAGTGCCACCTACCAGTGCCTCCTCATCAGTGCCCATCAGTGCCACCTATCAGTGTCCATCAGTGCAGCCTATCAGTGCCCATCACTGCAGCCTCATTAGTGCACATCAGTGAAGGAGAAAAATCACTTATTTACAAACTTTTATAACAAAAACTAAGAAAAAACCTTTTTTTTTTTTCAAAATTTTCTGTGGTTTTTTGTTTGTTTAAGAAAAAATAAAAAAACCCAGAGGTGATTAAACACCACGAAAACACAGCCCTATCTGTCACAAAAAAAATTATAAAAATTTCATATGGGTACAGTGTTGCATGACCGCGCAATTGTCATTCAAAGTGCGACAGCGCTGAAAGCTGGAAATTGACCTGGGCAGGAAGGGGGTATAGGTGCCCTGTAGGCTTGTGGTTAAAAAAAACAAAACAAAAAACAACAGACTTACTGGTCAGATGACCAAATGAAAATAGAAGAAAGAAAGCCTATAAAAGGAAATTTATACAGCCATCACATCTAAGAATTGGTAAGCTGCAATTTAATAAATGTTTGCTTTTGGGTTAATACTGCTTTTATTTAATATATAGTCCGTCTCTGTATGGATAGGATTCTGTAGCAAGCAATCAACTTTATATAAGTAAGCCTGTATAGGCACATATGCCCATGCACTGAGCAGACACACCAGGTTCCAGCATGCAACCTTTTTTTTCTTTCCAAGAATAATCAGCTTGGGTGTTTACAATTATATAAATCATATCTCCAGACATAGAATGTAAAGTGATTAACATTGTGTAGCATTTACCCCCAAAGTAGCCGTAGTAATGTCCAGGACTTCCCTAACTACCTTCTGCAGCCAGGCACAAGGTAGTTTCACAGCCAGGTGCACACACATTTTCACTCATTGTCTTCAAAAATCAGTGTAGGGGGTTGTTGTTTTTGTAGTTTTATTACTAGAGAACTTGTATTTAGTAGGACACTCCAGAAATAGAACTAATTACAGTTGAGGACAGAACTTTCTTAAGTAGCAAAGTCCCAATGTTAGGAAGAGGTTAAACAGACAGTGCTCTTCAGGTCACCAGCTGGTGTCCCCTTGTTTCAGACCCATGCTGACTATAAAGCACCAGAGGGGTAGCAAAGCACACAGAGTCCCCAAGATACCACAATGTCTGTACTCACAAGGCCCAATGACAGAATGGTAGCCTTCTTACAATCGTCCAAACCATGCCCTTCAGTGATACCAGACAGATCTTTAGCAGACAGCTCCCCACAGTCAGCTGGCAGAAGAATGGAAATCACTCTCTCTCTCTCTTACTTCAGGCTATCAGGTCGCCCACCTGAGACTGCAAGGCAGCAGGTGCCCGGGGAGGCAGCATGTCCTCCTCCTGGCTGGTACAATCCTCTCCAGGAAATTACTTCATTGTATTTTATATTGTGAATTAGTGGACACGGTGCCAGCTCTGGGATGAGCCCTGTTAACTCTTTGAGTGGCTTCAAGGTCTAATGGGTTGTGCAGCACCCTCTAATGTGTGTAGGCAAACCAGTCATCCATAGTGCTTGGTATAGACCAGGCCTCTCCAGCTGGTTCACAGTCTCTGACCATCTCCTGTATCCTGTCCGCAGTCTCTGGCTGTCTCCTGTATCCTGTCCGCAGTCTCTGGCCATCTCCTGTATCCTGTCCGTAGTCTCTGACCATCTCCTGTACTATGTCCACAGTCTCTGACCGTCTCCTGTACTGTGTCTGTAGTCTCTGATCATCTCCTGTACTATGTCCGCAGTCTCTGATCTCTCCTGTATCCTGTCCACAGTCTCTGACCATCTCCTATAGTATGTCAGCAGACTCTGATCATATCCTATATCATGTCTGCAGTCTCTGACCATCTCCTGTATCCTGTCCACAGTCCCTGACTGTCTCCTGTATCCCATCTGCAGTCTCTGACTGTCTCCTGTACTATGTCCGCAGTCTCTGATTGTCTCCTGTCCTATGTCTGCAGTCTCTGACTGTCTCTTGTACTATGTTCTAAGCCTCTGACAATCTCCTGTATCCTGTCCGCAGTCCCTGACCTTCTCCTGTATCTGGTCCGCAGTCTCTCACCATCCCCTGTATCCTGTCCACAGTCTATGACCATCTCCTGTAGTATGTCAGTAGACCCTGATCATCTCCTGTATCCTGTCTGCAGTCTCTGAGCTTCTCCTGTATCCTGTCCTCAGTCTCTGACCATCTTCTGTATCCTGTCTGCTGTCCCTGACCGTCTCCTGTCCGCAGTCTCTGACCATCTCCTATAGTATTTTAGCAGACTCTGATCATCTCCTGTATCCTGTCCACAGTCTCTGACCATCTCTTATAGTATGTCAGCAGACTCTGATCATCTCCTGTATCCTGTCCACAGTCTCTGACCATCTCCTGTAACCTGTCCACAATCTCTGACTGTCTCCTGTATCCTGCCCACAGTCTCTGACAAACTCCTGGAGGTGGAGCTCTAATAGGAAGAGGTGGAGCCTAAATCAGAAGAGGCATAGTTTACAGATGAATGGGTGGATCCTAAACAGGAAGGGGTGGGACAAATTTAGATTGGGGGGGCGCAATTTTAGTCTTGCCTAGGGCAGCACAAAACCAAAATACACCACTGCAGATACCACAGCATACCTTCAGAGGTCTAATGCAATCCATGCCTTGAAAGGGAGACCTACTCAATGATAGCTGGGTGGTCATAAGGTTATAGCTGGTGGTCATAATGTTATGGTTGATCAGTGTGGCTCAATCTGTCTAAAATCAGCAATACCCTTCAGGTTATCAGCAACTGTCATGGGAGAGAGCTTACTTGTGTAAGTGGCTATTCTTATGTAGGAATTGAGTAAGATATGCTACTGTCAGTCTAATCTAAGATGAAATAAGAAGGATGTTGTTCTGTTGGGTGGTTGTCAGAGACATATAGGAGAGGATACTGTTCTGCCTGGATCTTATCTACTGCAAAGAATTGAGAATATTGCTATCAGAAGCATGACTGCTTTCAGTGTAGACAAACATGCTGGGTTCCAGTAACACCTCGTCAAGTGTTCTTTCTGCCAAAATGCTGCTGCTTTTGGACACACTGACCCTGTTTCTTTTTTTCCTGTTGGTGACAGCTGATGATTGGAGAGCAGAGGAAAGATAGCAGTTACGCTGGTGATAATAACATCATTAGTTTTTGCGCAAGACCAGTGATAGACATGGGCTTTTACAAATTTTGTAGTCCCTGGTTATCCAGTGAATCTACACACAGGAATGATTGGCTTTGGGGTTGGAGACCTTTGATAAGTATGGGATCATTTCCCAGTCCTGGAAAAAACAGCTCCAATAGCGCAGCTGTAATCTTATGTCTATGGGTAGATGAAGAGGCATCCAGTCTTTAATTGTATACTTTACAAGAATGGATGGATTTTGGTGCACAGGAATTTGTAGACAGACCCCACTAAAGACTAGAGAAGCAGTCAAAAGTGTCCAGAAGAGTTAACAGAACTGATTGAGTTTGAGGCTTCATGCAAACGGGACATTAATAAAAAGCTTTCCTAGAAGCTGTCCCTCCTGGCAGCAGTGTTTTTGCAGACAAAATGTGTGACGCTTGTAACAGTATCTAACACTTTTACAAGCGTTTATGCGCGTTTACAAGCACTTGGGCGTTAATTCATGTCATTGGGCAGAATGATAATTTATTTTGACCATTGAAATGAATTAACACTCAAGCTTAGGGTTTAGATGCGTTTAGCCTCATCAAGTGTTTTTTATGCCAAAATGCTGCTGCCTTTGGAAGCACTGACCCTGTTTCTTTTTTACCTGTTGGTAAACGCTACTGTTACTAAAAGCTTCTAAAAGTCTGTGTGCATGGACACATAGGATAGCATAGAGGGCCGTTTGGAAGCTGTAAAAAAAAAAAAAAAACACCTGACGCCCCTAAAAGTGGCTGCAAAAACGCCCTGTGTGCATGAGGCCTTAGAGCAAAGGAATCAAATAATTGGAAAAGACAGGTTCATGTACAAGTCTGAGGTCAATAACTAGCAGCAGACAAGCTCAACAATGAGGCCTAAATAGAGGATACGAATAAATCCAGGGACCAGTCAAAGTCTTAGCAGTCAAAGCAGGAGAATGCCTGGGAACAACAAAGCAAAGTATGCTTGGAATCATCATATTCACAGCAAGCTGTGACAGCAAAAGCTAGAGTATGAAACAAAGACAGAAAAGTCAGGATCATTCAGTAGTGGGCACATGGATATGCATCCTTTAAAGTATCTGAAAACCCCAACAATTAACTTTTTTGCTTTTTGATCTAGTTACCATTAAAGATGTTTTATTAAATCTGATAAGTGCAAAAAAATACAGCACAGTGAGTGAGCATTGTCACCCTAGGCCTGGAAGTATATTAATGGCAGGATCATAAAGGAAAACAAAGGTAAAAAAAAGTAAATGAATGCAGCTATGACATCTAAGGACTGGTAAACTGAAATATATTACAGTTTAGATTTTGGGTTTAGATACCCTTTAAACAAAGGCCCATGGCATCATATAACCTAACCGTTCAGATGTGATGTAGGTAACTGATACTGGACTACTGGCTGCAACATGTTAGTTGTGTAACATTAGCCCCTTAGGAGTCCCTGAAGCTTTGGGTCCCCCTATAGTCCTGCAAAGCCAGGCAACAGGAATTTCCACAATAACTTGCATCCAGGAGACAGTACCCAGTCCTTGAGCTTTGTTTTGTGATTTTATTAGGGGATTTGAACTGGGATAGGGTTAGGGGTGTACGGGATATCCAATAGAACTGTGAAACTGAGGACAACTTCCTGGAACTATATACAAGATTTTACAGCAAACGTTAAAGTAAGACAGTCCCGGGTAGTTACTAATCTGGTTTCCCACCAGAATGTTCCTTCCCCTGTCTGGCCCAGAGGATGCAGGTTTACTCACTCAGTCCTTCTACTGTGTTGCTGGTGGGTCGGTGGCTGTACCAGACCTTCTAGCTGGGCTGCTCCTTCCCTGCCTCACAGGTGGTCCTCTCTGAGGGGGCTGGTGAAGTGCCAAGCTTTCCTCCTTCCAAGGTCCTCCTGCCTGGAGGTCAGCCCCTCTTCCATCAGGACCCCCTCCCAGGCTCCTGTCCTCCAGCTTCACATCCTCATTTTCCACCCAAACTCTCCTCCAACTCTCCTCCTGCTGGGCGGACTCAGTTACTCTTAAAGGCTGTCTTGGCCCCTTGCCAAGG